TATTCGCGCGACAAAAACGAACAAGCGTACCCGGATTGGTTCAAAAGCCAGTATTAGGGCGTTCTATGGGGTACATGGTTTGCTACTTCTGCTGTGCCTAGTGTTTTGCCGTCACAAAACCCCATCGAATCCCACAACAAAGTGATAAAAACGGTGTGCACTCCGCAGCTACATGCAGCGACCTCAGTCGTTTTGAATGACACCCTCCCAGCGATCCTTTTGCTGAACAGTGACAAAAAGATATCCCGATACGGTCATTTCTGCGAAGGTAATATTTAACTTTTTCATCATAATATGTTTGACTAAATTAAAAATTGTTTTAGGTCCTGTTCCCAGCGAAATGGTTGAACACGCACGAGTGTTTTTTCGTGAAAAAAATCATAGGAAGCAATACCTCATCTTGGATTCCCCAACAAAACTGAGCTCCATTGTTTTCAATACTTGGGAATACGCTGTTTACCCTAGAAACCAGTGTGGAGTGGAAATCACCGATGCCCGAGTCTCCAGGGTTTTTTTTCATCATTTATCCAACTTAATATATCAGCATAACTTTCAATGTTTGTATGTCATACAGATATCTCGACTCGAAAAAGGGAAAAGTACGGAAAAGGTCCGAAGTTCCTGATTTTAATCTCTCTTTTGCCTCATTGCACGAGGTTTTAGTACATCCTGATGCACCTACTTCAGACTTTCAGCTGAGCTTGACCCCTACAGTACCGTCGGATCAGGTAACATTGTGTAAAATGTTGAGATGCAAAAAATAATTTTAACAATTTATCCTTACAGATTCTGGCTGTTCGGTCACGATATCGCTGTGATTGTAAGGGGTTTTGGACTACTGGCTGGGTTTGCAGTCATGTTATTGCAACACTTGCCCTGATGAAGCAATATGACCTGCAACAGCAACCGCTCACATGCCTGTTCGGAAACAGAGTGGGGGTCAGCGAAATAAAAACAAATTGTCTGAGCAAGGACGACTCTAGATACTTCGAAGTTGGAAAACTGGAAAAACAATTCGTTTAAAAACCATTCTTTCCAATTGGGTGGAACGTGACCAAACAACTTCCAGTTGAAGACACCGAAGGAAAAATCACGTTGAGAAATGTACCTGGCCGAGTTGTGGATTGGCATAATTGTATTGGGCCAAGAGGTGTCTATAACTGGGCGGTTGAGTTCAACAATGGTGCTAGGGAATTGCTGGAAGTGGATCAATTGGCTGCGCTGATTAACAAGTGCCACCACGAAGGGCTAAACGTTACAGCGCGTCTTTTCTAGTCGAAGCGTGACTCACGACATCGTGGTGATAACCATAGTAGTTCTAATACCACATGTTTTGCATAATACATACAGAAGTATCGATTTCCATCCAATGGAAATTGTATTGAAAAGCATCCGATTTTGTATAGCAGATAAGCCGCACCCTTATGAACGTACAGTGTCATCACATTCGTTGATCTGCGCACACCGGAGGCGTAGACGATCCATTTCACATAGCTGCACCTTGTATCTGGTGCTGGCTGGTATTTATATTGTATCAGCATGTGTAGCCTGCACAACAGGAAGGCGACAGTTTTGTTGGAATGATCAGCTGGGAAGCTGAGTGCAGAAAACCCGGATGCCCGAGCTACTACCGGTACTCTCGTATCCCCGCTGGTAGTGATTGATTCGAGTCAATCATCAGAGGCTACTGTTTTCACTAGGTTATTGCTCTCTCAAAATCCTTTTAGAGCTATAATTTATTAATAAGGGACGAATCGACAGAGGGACATGACTTTTTTATTTTTGCCATTTGTCATCAAAATTGTTTCAGCCCAGGTAAGCGATAATACAAGGCTTATATTTGAATGGTATATTATTGTGCTTTGCAAAGCGTTTGTCGATTATCAATACCAGTAGGGTGATAGCTCGATTTTTAACAAATCGAGGTATATCGAGCTTATAAAAAGAGATAAATAGATCGAGTTAGAGTGGCTTGTAAATAGAGCTACAAGCGCTTCTCGATTTACGACAAATCGACATCGATATTATTTAAACGACCCTTTTTGCGTTTTTTAAACGCAAATCGAGTGCAGATTTAATAACTCCACGCATGCCTTTCCTTTCTCAGTTTTACGCCTGTTTTTATGCGCCAATCATGCTTGGTCTAGACCATAAAACCGAGCGACATATCGTCTGCAAAGCACAATAAAACTGAGCTCTAAATAATCATGCAGTCTAATAGCCTTTATGATTTTAAAAATTACATGGATGTTACCTGTGTCGTCAAATGAGCTACGGTTTCGAGCAGAAATTCAGCGGAGCCAAAAGCGCGCTTCGGGCGGTTTTCCAAATAAGAAAAATATTATATCAAGTAAAATTGAACCTGTCTGACAATTTAGGATGAGTAGATTTTGACGCACATATCAGAGAATGTAATTGGTCCACCCACTTTTTAGAAAAAGTGTCGCTTAAGGAGACTATTCTTTCCACGTACCTTAATCATATGTGCTGAGAGCTCGTCTAGTCATTTCTATATGCATATGTTTTATATTAAAATAAAAAGCAGATACATTCAGAACTTTCCTAACTCCCTAATAATCCAGCCCTTGGCTACTTTTAGCCGTTGCTTTAAGAATTGACATAGCACGGAACGCTGTTGCTGACGAATGATGATACTAAATATACGCATATTGATTTTACGATAAAACTGCGATGATTAATTTGTACTCGTACACCACTTTCGTCTCTTCTGCGGACAGCACGTTTAACTCAATGTTCGTGGCAAAAAAAACGATTGAATGAAGGTTTTGTGACAAGAAAATAATTAGGCTGGTTGTGAGTGAACATATGCATCAAAACCATTTTTTAGAAATATGTCAACGGTTTTGCGGCTAAACACTGAGAAATACTCTATGTTGCCGGTTAGACGATACGATAAATGAAGTGCTCAGGATACGTTCTTTGTACATTGAACTAACATTCCAACTGCGGTTTTCATCGTCACCGGGAGTTTACCAGTTTTGTCATTTCGTAACATTCCCAGACTGCGTCGTTGGGTTCGCGATACGGGCTGCGAGCGGTCGAGATACTTCTTCTGCAAAGTAATGTAATTCTTGTCCGTTTGCTGAAAGTATTTATCTGTCCCCGGCATGTTGAACTCAACCGAATGGGGCTTGATGTGGTAATAATCGGCCGCAATGAATCGTCGTCGCCTCATGTATCATCAGACCATCCTATCTTGTAGCAGCAGCCATTAGCTGTATCAATATCCTCTTGCCTATAGTCCCCAACACGCCAACGCTGCAGAATATTGCGCCATAAAGGGTTGTTCTTACGCCGTACATTATCTTCCAGAATAAGCACTTCGTTAGTTTTATGATACCTCTTTGACGCCGCGATTGTGCCCCCGCCCTGATCGCGATACTTGCGGGCGTGGAGCTCGACTCTGAAAGGCTGGGTGGTCGACTACAGGTCATTGTTGAAGCCAGTCTCCAATAAACAGTACGTGGATACTATAACGCGCTTTTTGGATTTCTTAGCTTTTGTAGTTTCATTATCAGCCTACAAAAGCTGCTTTTTTTATAGAGCTATCGACATCGCGGTCTTGGACGTCGACTCGACGTTGCTCGAGAGGGACGTCCTGCCGACTCTTAGTCGACACCCAGATAAATCACTACTGCTGATTAATTCAAATCAGTTTGGATTGCCAATCAAATCGAAACAATAATTTCTGGCAAGTTGAAGTTAGTTAGACCACATCAGGATCCGTTCCCATTTTCCAAGTCGACTGCCATACAGGAATCTGTCATGGCACTTTCCTTGGGATCTTTGCTTTGTGTTCAGCCGTCATACCAAACCTGCATCCCCCCTTTATGAAAACTGACCAAGTAATGGCCGATAAAAGCGATGACGACGACTTGGAAACGCCTCCCGTACGCAGCGATTTAAGCGCACAAACTCAACCCCCGCAAAAGAAACCCAAGTTGCCTCGAAGCACTTCAGCAGCTCACCATGGACAGACAACTCCCTCTAGGCGCTCTCGTGCCACGCTCGTTTTTCCAGCACCGCTCGAGTTACACGAACCAGTACAACCCCAGGACGGCCGCTTTCGAGCGTGTTAAGGCCAACGACAAGGTCTCTATGCCAACGCCACCGGTCCTACAGGCTGTCGAGTCACATTCGCTTGCCGAGGCAAAGAAAATGTATCCAAACCTCACTGGTGTGGAGATTTGCCCGACTGGAAGGGTTTTCCCAGTGCCAAGCCAGAGAGAGAGAAGGTTTACTTTCAGCGTGCGGTGCGTGTTGCCGATGGTCGGTTTGCCAGTGTTTCAAGATCAGATCTGACTCGAAAGCACGCGAGGGGCTTTTACTACCTCAGCTGCGATGAAGAAGGTATGATCACTAAAGGAAAAAGCAAGGTCTGGCCCTTACATGCAGAAACTACACAGCGATGATGTTAAGTAAGTTCAGGAGATTGCCCGGCGTGAAAATGCAGTTGGAAATTTGCAAAGGTTTGACAAGTGAAAAGGGCGCCAGCAAAACTCAGTTGGGATCCTAGCAAAAAACAAAACGGGGCGCCGGCAAAATGTTTTCTCCCCTTTCTTCAGCAAGCTGTCAAAAATTATAGTCCGTTACTATAAATATAGTCTTCCAATTATTTCTAAAAACAAACTCGGAGTGGACCAACAGCGGCGTACTGGAAGGCGAGGAGAGACAGCTCCTGTTTCTCGTGTAATATACCTGTTCTGACACTGTCGGGCGGTGCATTATTTAGATGGGAATCTACTCGACACGCTTCATAGGTCCTCAGTCTTGGAATTGCGCGTTTTTAAGGTTTGTGAGCTGC